TGTTTTATGTTTTCTTTCTTTCTTTTTTTTTTTAAAGCTTCAGTACATGGTTGTATATCCTAGTTGTTAGTTTTTAGTTCTCTATGTGACCCACTGCCACAGTATGACAACTGACAGATGGGTGATGTGGTTCCAGGACCGGAAAACGAACCTGGGCTGCGGCAGTGAGAGGGCCGAAACTAGACCACTAGACCACCAGGGCTGGCAGTGTTTTATGTTTTCTTGAGTTTCATGAAAATCTTTATAAAAATCAAGAAGACAGTTTCAACCTCCATTTTTCAAATCCAAGTGCTGAGAGCTAGGGGATGTTTTTTTCTTCTCATGACTCAATGTATTACTTGATATATACTGTTGAAAGCAGGATTGGCTCTACACTGGTAAGGGCCAACACATCTGTTATCAAATTTCTCCTCTTGTTTCTCCACAGGACATTTTAGTTGGGAAATGTAACTATTCAGTTTCATTTAGCAATGAATGGAACTATACAATATGTGTTTGTGTGGTCTGTCCAATCTAATTCAGTGGCTACTATTTTCAGCTCAGCATTGGTGTCTTTTAGGGAGACAAAAAACCTTTTATTTACCTAGAAGTACTTGCCTTTCTCATCCTAGCCTTATTAGGTTTCAGTTTCCATTTGTGCTTTCTCACATCCCCTTCTCTACAATGCCCAATCACAAATTCTGTTTTACATGTTGTTTAGTTTGTTCTGTTTTAGTTATTTACTGCCCTAATCCAGGTGTGGATATGTTTTTACATCTGTCATTAAAATAAGAGTCTTTTTTGGTGATGTCTGAGTCACGTTGGCGTTGGTATTATAATTATTCTCATTTTCATTATCTGAACTCTTAGAAAACATTGTCACAATATTCACAAGGTTGAAAATTAAACTAGCACAATATTGGTACAAGGCACAACAGTTAATCCACAGACAAAGCCAAAGACTGACTGTTAATGCTTATGATTGCAACGCACTTAAGTTACACACTTAAATTGCGTCACTCTGGAGTGACGCAACAATGGATATTCCATTTTCCGAAACTGCAAATCATGGTTGCCAACATCAGCAGCCAGGGAAAAAAAAAACTATAGCAACTAGGAATGGCACAAAATCTATGCCTTAACCACTTGACGGTAAAGACAGTGCTGCTTACACCCTGACTTTTTGGGCCACCTTATGGGTTTTGTACTTTCCCCACCCGTCCACCCAAACTGGAACTTTTGAAGTCCGGAGGAGGGATTTCCCGGCACAGTTCAGGAAACCTGGACGGTTGGTCACCCTACATCAGTCTCCCCCTTCCATTCCTTCAGTGTCCTCCATTTTTCTGTCTCCGAGTCTTGCCTCTCCTCCACTCTTGCCTCTGTCCTCAGTTTCCCACTCTCAATCCGTCAGTCTCCTCCCTTTTGTCCCTAAGTCTCCATTCTCTGTTCTAATGTCTTTTTGTCCTTTAGTCTTCCTTTCTCTCTTCCTTAATTTCTACTTCGTGTCTCAAGTCTCCTCGTCCCTGACTCAATTTTCTTGCTTTTTCATCAGTCGGCCCCTGCAATTTATTACTGTAGTTGTAATTTCCCCAGGAGGATTCCTTATAATTGTTATTAGCATAATTAACTGTTTATGCCCCCCCCTCTACTCCCCCGGGAACTCCTCCATCACTTTTGCCCCTCCCTCCAACAGTGGAATCCGCTGGTGTAGGGCTGTACCATTTACCAGCACTTTTAAGTAGACTTTCAGAAGAAAGAATTGCACCATTCCAAATTGCTTTTACACCAGTTACAGTCTTCCAGTCAAGTACTGTTATCACTACAGCTTCTTCCCCAAGCCTGTGAAAGCTCTCTGCAAAAGTTTGCACTTTACTGGTTTGTATAATCCTCCTTTCCTTCATCTTCTTCCCCATCCCCTCGCTGCCGCAGCGATACGGCCCAGCCTTAGGCTTCGAATAAACCGAATTCCTCCGCTTGTACGGAACTGCCCGGGCTCTCAAGATGGCGGCTCCCATTGAGACACAGTGCAGGGAGCGGCCATATTCCTTCTCAACAAAGCCGCCGAGGCCCCGAGCTCTGCTCGTCCAGGCAGGAAGCGGGAGAGTCCGCCAGTATGGATGTGACAGCCGTCCCGGGTTAAGCCGTGACGGGCGTTTCAGAACTTGATAATCCAGCTGGGGGTCCGAAGGGGTATTTATGGGTTGAGTCATGAAGAAGTCTATGATTGTTATTGGGGCAGGGGTCCGTGAGGGTCAGTAATTGGAGGTCCATGGGGTCAGAGATGGGAAGTCTCTTTGATGAGTGTTGGGTATATAGGGGGCTCAGTCATAGGGAGGGCTGGATGATCTGTGGGTCAGGGATGGCGGGCCTGTGCGCTGATGGGGTAGCGGTGTGGCCAGTGCTGTGATGGGGTTGGAGGTGGAGGTGCTCTTTGGGATTTGTGATTTCTGCACCTGGTGATTCAGTGATATGTAGGGGTCATTAATGGGTCCAGGAGCTCATAAAGGTCAGTCCCACTTTACTGGGAAAGGCCTCCCTTTACAGTAATCTCTGCAGGTGAGAGGCCGACCCCAAGTTGAAGCCACTCCTCAGATGTTTTTTCAGGCCATCATCTCCCCCCATCACCCCCGACCTCACAGGAAAAAACATCCTTTGAACAGTCTAAAGGGATAGGATTATTATTGTCAATTCCTTTTAGCCCGAGACCAGCGGGAACACCCTCTAGTTGATAAGTTGAGTTTATTGCTCTTGCATCTGGTTAGGAACACGGACACCATGGGGAACTGGAGGGCGTCTCAGTGAGAGACGTGTTAGGAAGTACTTCTTACAGGATTTGGCCTTGTGTTAGGTGATTTTGAGGAGAGCTTAATGAAATGGGCTCTTCTCTGAATTGGCTGTTGTCAGGAAGTGAGGTACTTCAGTGATTGGGCGTTTTAATAAATCTTACCTAGAGAGAGGAGAGACTAGAGTGAAGCTAAAGCTGTAATAGGAAAAGAAGTACCAGTCCTTGGTGTCAGCTGGGAGAGAGGATGTTTGGTATTTTGCGGATGGGACAGTGTTGATGTTTTGTCTGTGTTCAAATATCATTTCAGAGAGGTCTTGTTTTTGTCTTGATCTGTCATTGTCACAGAGTGGCCTTGTCTGATGTTGATGTTCTGTGTCATTGTTTCTGTTGAATAGGAGAGTTGTGAGTGCCAGGCCAGCTCTCAGATGTGAGGGGCTGCTTTTTCTCTTTCTCATGTAAGGTGTGATTTCAGCCCTGCCCCTTGCTGAGTTTATTGAAATCGTTCTACTTTCTATTCAACAAACATTTATTAAATTTTGTTTATTAGGTAAACATTTATTAACCTGCTGCTTGTTGCAGAGCTGGGTGTTTAGAGACAATCACGACAATTTGATTGTTTCCTTCCAGGTTCATTTTGAGAAAGCCTGGGATAACCCCATATGAAACAATGTCCCTGTCCTGGGAGCACTCACTTCCTCTGAATGAGTTCAGCTCTGTCTGTATGACCCTCCTGGGACTGAGAAGAATTTACCAGTAAGTATCTTCCTGCATTTTGGTATATTTCTGTTTATCAGTGGTTCCAACCTATCACTGTTTTCTTTGTTTCATTTATTTATTTTATTTATTTATTTTTAATTTTTATTTATTTATTTTTTCCCCCAAAGCCCCAGTAGATAGTTGTATGTCATAGTTGCATAGCCTTCTAGTTGCTGTATGTGGGACGCAGCCTCAGCATGGCCGGAGAAGCGGTGCGTCGGTGTGCGCCCGGGGTCCGAACCCGGGCCGCCAGCAGTGGAGCACGTGCAGTTAACCGCTAAGCCACGGGGCCGGCCCTGATTTATTTATTTTAATTGAAGTATAGTTGACATACAAAATTATATTAGTTTTGGGTGTACAATATAGTGATTTGACATTTATATACATTATAAAATGATCACCACTGACAAGTCTAGCAACCATCTGTCACCATACAAAGTTATTACAACGTTATTGACTGTATTCCCTATGTTGTGTATTACATCCTTGTGACTTATTTATTTTATAACTGGAAGTTTGCTCTTCTTAATCCCCTTCACCTATTTCGCCCATCCCCCTCTCCCCTCTGGTGACCACCAGTTTGTTTGGTGTATCTATGAGTTTATTTCTGTTTTGTTTTGTTTTGTTTTTTAGATTCCACATATAAGTGAAATCACACAGTGTTTGTCCTATTTTCTTATATAGACAGTTGTGCTTTTGAAAATCAGGAATAAAAATTTAAACAAAAAAATCTTAAAATCAACAAAATCAACAGTTTTGATCCATGAATATTGACTTGGCAAGAGAATTTGCTGGGTTAGGGAAAATATAAAAGAGCTCTTAGGATTTTGCTGGCTGCTTCTGTCTAGGGAATGTGGGTGCATCCTTCAGTTTTCTACTTGGTCATTCCCGTTCTTACTGCCAGGGAACTGCTCCATCTGCAGTTAAATCTTGACATATGTAAAGATTACATATATATATGTAATATATCCATATATATATCCATGGTTATTATCTCATGAGAGAGTCCTACAAATAGAACTACAAATAGAATTGCTGGTTCAAAGGGAACAATAAGGTGTTAGCAAATCAACACGAAACATATCTGCATTTATCCAATTAAAAATACACCTTGGGCCGGCCCTGTGGCTTAGCGGTTAGGTGCGCGCGCTCAGCTGCTGGAGGCCCGGGTCGGCTCCCGGGCGCGCACTGACGCACCGCTTCTCTGGCCATGCTGAGGCCGCATTCCACATATAGCAACTAGAAAGATGTGCAACTATGACATACAACTATCTACTGGAGCTTTAGGGGAAAAAGAAAAAAGGAGGAGGATTGGCAATAGATGTTAGCTCACAGCCGGTCTTCCTCAGCAAAAAGAGGAGGATTAGCATGGATGTTAGCTCAGGGCTGATCTTCCTCACAAAAAAAAAAAAAAAAAGAAAAATACACCTTGTCCAAGTTCTCTGTGATCATATTATAATCACAAGAGGACTTCCTTCACATGGTGCTTGCTGACTCTTCTGTAGGGACCAAACGACCTTCTACAGGGTGGCGTGTTGTCTACCTGACTTGTGGTGGTGGTTGTTTCTAGACAGGTGAGTGTCAGTTCTGGCCCCTGGAGGCTCCAGTCTGTCTCCCAGTCCTGGTGTCTTAGATCTCTGCCCTTTTGGAAAAGAAGCAGAAAATGACCAAGTCTCAGGTGAGTTGCTTGCTTATTTTGTAGTTGGTTTCTATACAACCAAGTGGAAAAGTGCAGAAAGCTAAAAATTAGGATTAGGGAAAATGTAGAGAGAATAAAAGATAAAGACTTGGAAAGAGTTGCTATGTAATATACAGATTATATGGTTTTAAACCAGATAAAACCACTATTATACTTCAAATATATATACATTTGTTATATATAAATTGTATATAAATATAATACATTTACTATATTTATGATATCTATTTTATATACATATAAATTAAAGTGCCAATTTGTCTGATCTTTTCTAGCAGCCACAGTGGAAAGGCAGAGGACATCTACATGATTTGCATTCTTCATAAAGAGAAATCAGCTGAATTCTTTTTTTATGAGGAAGATTGGCCCTGAGCTAGCATTCCCTGCCCATCTTCCTCTTTTAGCTGAGGAAGATTAGCCCTGAGCTAACATCTTTGCTCATCTTCCTCTATTTTGTATGTAGGACACTGCCACAGCGTGGCTTGATGAGCAATGCATAGGTCCACCCCCCGGATTTGAGCCCGCGAGCCCTGGGCTGCTGAAGTGGATCGCACAAACTTAACCACTATGCCACTGGGCCAGCCCCCACAGCTGAATTTTTAATGAAAATATTTCTTGCCACTAGGACTAAAAGAAATTAATTTTTGGGCCAGCCCCAGTGGCCTAGTGGTTAAATTTGGCACACTCCACTTCAGCAGCCCAGGTTCAGTTCCTGGGTGCCGACCTACACCCTGGTCAGCAGCCATGCTGTGGCAGCGGCCCGCATACAAAACAGAGGAAGATTGGCAGCACATGTTAGCTCAGGGAGAATATTCCTAAGCAGGAAAAAAATATATATAAATTAATTTTTTTCAGTCTTTCTATAGATGATGTCCTGACCTGTACTCCTATATAAATGTATTGTAGATTTTTTGTGGTTGTATCTAAAAACATTTCTTTTAGAGGTCAGTTATCATAATGTTAAAGCTGAACTCCATAAGCATTCTTACTTAGGGAACTATGGTACAGTGTACCCAGGGACAGAATCTAGATAGGATGGAATGATGAGTGTCTGTTTGTCTCCAGAGTAAATATTTCTCTCAAATAGGCAGTTCTTTAGTTATATTTCAGTGGCAAATGCTTGGAGAGCAGGGGTCTCAGATTCTCCATAGTCTTTGCTGTGGTCTCAGGGTTTGTGAGGCTGCTCCCTAACTCAATGCCAGTTCTGTCTCTGTTTTTCAGTTTATAAAATCATTTTGCTATTTTTTTTCCTGGTCCAAATTATCTCTACTTGGTATAAACATTTAAAAAATGCAAAAAAGTAAAAATTATAAAGTGAAAGGGCCTCTAATTTAATATTCTCTTCCTCCTGGGATGACTAGTATTAATAATTTGTGATGTTTAGATATTTTTCTCCATCTAGAAATTATTGATTCTATTGTTTTTAAAACATAAAGTCTCAACTGTATTATTTAACTGATTGACTGTCCAATTTTCCCAGTACCATTTGTTGAATAATTCACTTATTTGAAATGCTGCCTTTATTGAATTGTCACTTGTGATGGGTCTCTTTTGCTCTTTTGTTCTCCTGATATGTTTGGTTGTTTTTGCTAAAGACAAAATTTTATATCATTTTTATCAATAGGCATGATGTATAACTGGGCATATAGTTTTGTATGCTATGGTAAAATGATGAGAATGGTCGCTTCAGATTGAACAGGAACATGCTATTATAGGGTCCAGTGTCGTTCGAGGATGTGGCTGTGGATTTCACCCAGGAGGAGTGGCAGCAACTGGACCCTGCTCAGAGGACCCTGTACAGGGATGTGATACTGGAGAACTACAGCCACCTGGTCTCAATGGGTAAGGATGGCTTCTCTACATAACTCAGCGTTATCCAAGCCAGTGCCTCTTCCTTCTCATTTGATTGAGTTGGGTGGGTTCCTGACGTATATAATGACTTTCTGCTCTCTTTCCTCTCTCCAGTGAAAGGTATTTACTTTGCTGAGGGTCAGCTGGACAGCTTCATTGTGGGGCTCCTAAAATGGCACCCTTTCTTCTCTTTTCAGTGTAGTCAACCCAGTTCCTCTATGATTTTTCTGTAATAGGGTATCCAGTTTCCAAACCAGATGTCATCTCCAAGTTGGAACAAGGAGAAGATCCATGGATCATAAAGAAAGACATATCAATTTGGATCTATCCAGGCGACAGTCTGGCAGATGGGAGACAAGGGAAGTGAAATCTGTTTCTTTGTTTTTGTTTTTAATTGACTTGTGGCTGAGACTTATGTTTCCACCCGGATTGGTAGCTCCTATTCCTTCTTGCTCCTGTGATGAGCATGCAGTAGGTATTCAGCAACTAGTTAACTGAGTAATAGTGAGCCTTGTACAGAAGAGAAATTTCTTATTGATCCCCTCAACGGTCATATTTTAGTGCCTTTCTAAAAGAAGTTCAAAGGCAATAGAAGGCAAATGCTTTTCAGGAACATAGGTTGTACATGGAAAGACAAGACATGAAGATTCATGGCTGTATAAAATTGCATGTCCAATATAGTTACCGCTTTAGGAGTTCAGTGAAAATGATAGTCTAAAGAGATATGGCATAATTTAAGAAGGCGTTTTTCAAAACATGAACCAGCTACTTTGAAGTATATCTGAAGTATGGGTTAGGCAGGAAGAGGAGGGTGAGGGGCAAGCTCTAGGAAAGGACGTGCACAAATTCTTGGAGTTAGGAATCAGTGTGGCTTTTCTGGCAAAAATTTGCTAGGCTTATTTGATTTCAATAAAAGATATTTATTGGAGAATAGTGGAATATAAGCTTGGATACACAGTGTGAATACAGACAGTTAATATTTCGTTAGCTGTACCCTGAAGTTTTATCATTTTTTTTAAACAGCTTTGAGATATAACTCACAGGCCATACAATTCACCCATTTCAAGTAAACAATTGAGTGGTTTTTAGCCTATTCACAGATATGTGCAACTCTTGCCACAGTCAGTTTTAAAACATTTTTATCACCTCCAAAAGAAACCCTGTACCCTTTAGCTATCACTCCCCTATTCCCCATCTCCCCAGCCCTGAGCAACCCCTAATCTACTTTCTGTATCTGTTTATTGATTTGCCTACTCTTGATATTTCATATAAATGTAATCATATAATATGTGGTCTTTTGCGACTGGCTTCTTTCACTTAGCATAATCTTTTCGAGGTGCATTGACATTATAGCGTATATCAATACTTCATTCCTTTTTTTGGCTGAATAATACTCTGTTATATGGCTATACTACATTTTGTTTATCCATTCATCAGTTGTTGGACATTTGGCTTGTTTCTACCTTTTGGCTATAAGAATAATGCTACTATAAATATTCATGTGCAAGTTTTTGTGTAGACATATGTTTTATTTTTTCTTGGTATGTATCTAGGAGTGGAATTGCTGGGTCATATAGCAACTCTATGTTTCACCAAAATGATCCTCAATGACTAATTATGTTGAGCATCTTTTCATGTGCTTATCGGCCATTTATATATCTTCTTTGGAAAATAGGCTATTCAGATCCTTTGTCCATTTTTGCATTGAGTTATTTGTCTTTTTATTATTGAGTTGTAAGAGTTCTTTATATAAATAAAGTTCTTATGTAGAACTTATATGGAACTTTCATATAAATTTCTTTCTGTAGATTTTTTTTTTGTATAGAGGTTTTTTTGATATAAGTCTTGTATCAGATATATGATTTGCAAGTACTTCCTCCCGCTCTGTGGGTTGTCTTTTCACTTTTTTGATAGTGTCCTTTGAAGCACAAGGGTTTTTAATTTAGATGAAGTCCAGTTTATCTATTTTTCTTTTGTTGCTCGTGCTTTTGATGTCGTAGCCAAGAGTCCATTGCCAAATCTGAAGTCATGAAGATTTATCCCTATGTTCTTTTTCTAAGAGTTTTATACTTTTAGCTCTTACATTTAGGTCTTTGATCCATTTTGAGTTAATTTTTGCATATGGTGTGAGGTAAGAGTCCAACTTCCTTCTTTTGCATGTGGATATCCAGTTGTTCAGCACCATTTATTGAAAAGACTATTCTTTTCCCATTGAGTGGTCTTGGCACCCTTGCCAAAAATCAATTGGCCATAAATGAAAGCATTTATTTCTAGACTGTCTGTACTATTCTATTGATCTGTATATCTGTCCTTAAGCTGGTATCACACTCTCTTGATTACTGTTATGTATAGTAAGTTTTGAAGTTGGGAAGGATCATTCTTCCAATGTTGTTTTTCTTTTTCAAGATTGTTTTGGCTCTTCAGGGTCCATGTGAATTTTAGAATCAGAGTATCAATCTCTACAAATAAACCTCTTCAGATTCTGATAGGAATTGGTTGAGTTTGTAGATCACTTTGAGGAGTATTGCCATCTTAACAATATTAAGTCTCCTGAACCATGGAACATGAAATGTTTTTCCATTTATTTGGATCTTCTTTAATTTCTTTCAACGATGTTTTGCACTTTTCAGAGTATATGTTTTGTACTTCTTTGTTAAATTTAGTTCTTAGTATTTTATACTATTTGATGCTATTGTAAATGGAATTGTTTCATTAATTTCATTTTTGGATTGTCTATTGCAAGTGTATAGAAATATAATTGATTTTTATATATTGGTCTGGTATCTTGCAAACTTGCTGAACTCATTTATTAATTCCAATAGTTATTGGTTGATTCCTTAGGATTTTCTGTATAAATGATTTTGTCATCTACAAATAGAGATAGTTTTAAACATTCCTTTACACATTAGATGCCTTTTAGTACTTTTTCTTGCTTAACTGCCTGGCTAAAACTTCCAGTACAGTGTTGAATAGCATGGTGAGTGGACGTCCTTGTTTTGTTTTTGATCTTATTGGGAAAATCCAGTCATTCACCATTAAGTATTTTAGCTGTAGGTTGTCATGCCCTTTGTCAGGTTGAGAAAGTTCTCTTCTATTCCTAGTTTGTTGAGTGTTTTTATCATGAAAATGTGTTGGATTGTGACAAATGCATTTTCTGTACTTATCGAGGTAATCTGTTTATATGATATATTACTGAATTTTAATTAATAGATTTTTGGATAGTAAGCCAGCCTTACATTCCTGGACAAGTTCTACTTGGTGATGATGTATAATTCTTTTTATGTGTTGCTGGATTTGGTTTGCTAGTTGTGTTGGGGGTCCGCAGGACCAACCTCAGTTTTGGTGATTCACTAGGAAGAGGATTGGCCCTGAGCTAACATCTATGCCCATCTTCGTCTACTTTATATGGGTTGCCACCACAGCATGGCTTGACAAGCGGTACATCAGTGCGCGCCTGGGATTTTTGAACCTGGGCCACAGAAGCAGAGCATGTGCACTTAACTGCTTACACCACCGGGCTGACCCCTAGAAGGACTTTTACTCCTAGAGAAGCTGTTATACTCATGGTTATAGTTTATTACAGTGACAGAATTTACCGGTCTAAGTCTGGACTTTCTTTGTGGGAAGATTGTTTTTTTTACTAAGTTTCTTGATGTGGATCTATTTAGATTATCTACTTTTTCTTGTGTGAGTTTTGGTAATTCATGTCTTGCAAGGAATTTTTCCATTTCATCTAAATTGTCAAATTCTTTGGTATAAAATTTTTCATAACAATATTTCTTATTGTTCTTTTATGTCTATAGGATCTAGTCTAGAGATGTTCTTTCATTCCTGATATTGCTACTTTATGTCTTCTCTGTTTATTTCCTCATCACTAGCTAACACCTGTCAATTTCATTAATTTTTTTCAAATAATCAACTTTTGATTTCATTGATTTTTTTTTTCTATTTTTTGCCCATTTTCTATTTCATTGATTTCCACTTTGATTTTTACTTTTTCCTGTGTTCTACTTATTCTGGGTTTAATTTGCTCTTGTTCTAGCTTCTTAAGGTGGAAGCTTAGATCGTTGATTTGAAACCTGTTTTGTTTTCTAATAAAAGTGTTTAAATAGAGGTACTCCTCACTTTGTGTAATAACGAGGGACCATAAAAATTACCATGGAAGCTAAAACTTTGCACAGTAATGTTCATAATCAATGGGAAAAATCATAATTGTTTTGTGACCTTTAAACATTTTCTGTCAAAACATTAAAAGCTATCCTACTATAGTTATAACTATATAGAGAAATGAAAATATAGTAAATGAAATGAAATGAAATGAAAATATAGTAAAACTAATATTTATGTACTACCCTGCAATTTAAAACATTGGCAGCATTGAAAATATGTCTTATTTCTTTTCAAAAACCCTGTGTAGAGTACTTTGAACAGTGTTTGTCTTCTTATCATTGTATAACTTACGATATGGAGCGAGCCTATTTTATAGGCCTTAGTGAATTGTAATAGTCTTTTCCAAGGTTGGAGCAGCTTCCAACATTTTATCCTTTGTACTTTCAATGTTGTGAAATATGTCCAAGATAATGTGAAGATTTTTGCCCGCATCATTTTCTCTGGAGTATCTTTATCCTTTTCATCACAACCCAAGAATTTATGTCCGTAAGTTTGCCTTCACTAAGTTCCTCTGCATATGTGAAGTCTCATGAATAGTGGCAATGCCATTTCCAAGGTTAGCTATCCTCTAGTCACATCTAGTGTTAGTGTTGTTTCTTTGCTGCATTTTCTCTTTGTTGGCCAATTCCCTCTTTCAGTTATCCATTTTTGCAAAATGTCGTGTGGGTTTATCACTGGGAGACAAGGAGGAAACACAGCTATACACTTTGCTGTCTGTATATCTATTGGACAACAGATGTGCAGTTAATAATCACCAACAGACTTTGACAAAAGTGAAACAACTGGTTACTTATCATGATGTGTATCTGTTATTTACATAGTGATTAGTGGACTGAAGAGTAAGCAGTGAAGTTTGTACTTCATGCTCTTAGTCACAGATAATATACTGTGGTAATTAAACTTTAAACTGTGTTGTTGGCAGATTGGTGTTATTTAACTAAACTGTGCTAACTGAAATTCATGCATGTCAAAATATATGCATGAGGACAACCTGCATATAATTTTTCCTCTAAACACTGCTTTAGCTGTGTCCCACAAATTTTGATATTTTGTATTTTCATTTTCATTCAATTCAAGTTATTTTCTAATTTCTCTTTGGACTTTTTGACACATAGGTTGTTTACAAATATGTTGTTTAATTTCCAGATACTTGGGGGAATTTCTGAGATTTCTTTTTATTATTTATTTCTAATTTAATTCCCTTATGGTTGGAGAATATACTTTGTATGATTTCCATCCTTATAAAATTATTGTAAATTGTTTTGAAGCCCAGTATAGTCTATTCTGATGTTTGATTCATGTGTTCTTGAAATGATGTGTATTCTGTTGTTGTTGGATGGGGTGTGTATAGATGTTAATTAAGTTAGGTTCATTGATAATTACTGATTTTTTAATCTGCTTGTTTTATAAACCATTGTGAGAGAGATTTTGAAATCTCTAGCTGTAATTGTTAATTTGTCTATTTTTCCTTTCATTTTTGTCAGTTTTGGTTCATGTGTTGTGGGGTTCTGTTGTTACTTGCATATACATTTATAATTGGTATATCTTCTTGCTGTATTGATCCTTTTGCATTTTTGAAATATACCTCTGTTTCTAATAATATTTATCTTGAAGTCTATATTGTCTGATGTTAATATAGCTACTCCAGCTCTCTTATGCTTACAATTTGCATATTTTTTCCATCCTTTTATTTTCAATCTGTCTTTGAATTTAAAATGAATCTCTTTTAGACAGCATATAGTTGGTTTTATTATTTTATCCAGTCTGACAGTTTCTAATTGGAATACTAATCTGTCCCCAGTTAATGTATTTATTGATTTGCTTTGATTTATGTTTGCCATTTTGGTGTTTGTTTTCTATTCATTTTATCTCTCTTTTGGTCACTGTTTTTCTTTTGCTGTCTATTTTTGTGTTAAAAGAATATTTTTTAGTATACCATTTTAATTCTTCTGTTGAATTTTCAGTTGTAGTTCTTTGTGTGTGCGTGTGTGTTTGTGATATTGCTGTAAGGATTACAATATGATATTTAACTTCTTATAGCCTACTTTACGTTGATACTGCTCTTTTTTTTTTTTTCCGGAAAAATACAGAAACTTTGTACTAGCATAGCTCCATTTTTTTTACCCTCCCCAAGCATTCTGTGCTGCTTTGTTCTTTTAGTCATGTATGGTTACACTTATATTTGTCATAAATTTGACAATGTGGTATTATTATTTTTGCTTTAAAAAGTCTTTCAAAGAAATTAGAAGGAAAGAGAAAAAAGTGTACATATTTAAATCCTTTATATTTATCCACATACTTTAAAAAATTTCTAGTGTCCCATGGATTTGAGTTATCATCTGGTACTATTTCTTCAGCCAGAAAGATTTTCTTGAGTATTTCTTGTAGATTAGTTCTGCTAGCAAATATTTTGTTTATCTGGAAATGTCTTTGTTTTGCCATTTTTAAAGGAAAGTTTCACTGAATATAGAATTCTTGGTTGACAGGTTGCCCTCTTTTAGTATTTTGAATACTTACCTCAGTTTTTCACGTGTTGAAAATTCTGCTGGCGATACTGTTATTCTCCTATGCATGATGTGTCATTTTTTCGTTGCTGCTTTCAAGACTTTTCTCTTCGTCTTTATTTTTCAGCAGTTTAATTATGATGTGGTTAGTTGCCTAGGTATCCTACTTGTGGTTTGTTGAGCTTCTTGGATGTTTAAATTAATGTTTTTCATCAAGTTTGGTAATTTTTAAGACATTTCTCCAAATATTTTTTTCACCTCTTTCTCTCCCTTCTTTCTAGCACTCCAATTACACATATACTGGAATGCCTAATATTGCTCCACAGATCTCTGAGGTTCTGTTTATTTTTTTTAATATTTTTTCTTTTTGTTCTTTGGGTTGGATAATTTCTAGTGATATATCTTCAAGTTTACTGAATCTGGTTTTGCCTTCTGCTTTCTCAAATCTACTGATGAGCCCAGATGGAGAAATTTTCACTTCAGCCTTAGAATTTTCTCTTGTTTTAAAATTTTTTAATTTATGTAAAACAAATGTTATTCTTTCTTTAAATTTTGATAAAGGCATAGAGTAAGTTAAATACCACCACAACCATGACAGAAAAAAAGTTCCATTACTCTCAAAATTTCCTCTTGCTGCCTCTTTATAGTCAAACTGGTTCTTTTATATATTTTTTTCTCTTTTGAAATTGCCTATTTGTTCACTCATTCCTTAGCATCTTTTCCCTTAATTTTTTGAATATGTTTATAATAGCTTCTTTGAGATTTTTGTTTGCTAAATCCAACATTTGCAACCACTTGGAGTCAGTTTCTGTTGACTAATTTTGTTCCTTACTGTAGGTCACATTTTCCTGTTTCTTTGTATGTTAGTAATTTTTGGTTGAAAATGCTACATTGTAGATAATGTGTTGTAGTGTCTGTGGATTCTTCTTGTCCTTCTGAGGGTTTTGCTTTTGTTTCAGAGGCACTTAACTTGCTTGGGCTCAAACTGTGACATTTGTCTCTCCCGTGGAGTGCCATCACTGATGTCTCTGCTTAGTTTTTTTTTTTTTTATGCCTGGCTCTCTAAGGGACTTTCTTGCACCTGCATAAAATGGAGGTGAGCTAGCGATTTGAACAGAGGTTGTTAGACATCTAAAGCCAGTATGGCTTCCACTCTGCTGCCTGAATTGTGCATATGTCAGAATGCTTTAAAAGTATATCTAATTTGTGAGTCATTCTAGACTTTCAAGCACTGCTGGGCTCTCTAGGTGCTCTCTAGCATCTCTTTGCAAAAATATTTTAGCAGTTAGGTGGGCATGTACGGAGAGTTTATTATCTCAATCTTTCTATGACTCTTCTGCTTCCAAATTATCCTTGTTAAATTTCTATCTGCTCTTCTATCAGCGTTAAATTGTATCCTGTGGATTTGCATTATCTCTCAATGCCACATAAACTAGGGATGGGAGACAGGAAAACTCTATGAAAGCATGCCACAAGCTCCCCATTCTTATCTAAGGAAGTAGAATTTTTTGGTGAGTAAACACTTTTGAACCTGTGACCTGCTTTTGGTACTTTTCCAATGCCCTGAATTCATTGTTTTTAAAATCATTTTATTCAGTTTTATACTTGTTTTCTGAGGAGGGAAATTCCATGACTACCTCATGCCACCACTATTGGAAGTAAAGTCCATCTTCAATAACTCACCTGATAAACTTACACGTCTTGTTGTGTTTTAAATGGCCTGTTACCCTCCTAATTCTCTGTTTTACCTCTTTTGTTCTCTACTAAATCTTTATATCTGATTTTGTCTCTTTATTCTTTCAGACAGGGAGACTAGACTTGACAGCCTTCAATTGGATATGCTTGGAGATGTTTCCTTTCATAAGGAGATACTAGAAAGTGTCACAAGGGATCATTCACTGTACTCCATTTTAAAGATTTGGCAAGGTGATAAGAAACTGGAGAAGGGTCAGGAAAATCAAGACAGACTTCTCAGGCAAGTCATGGTCATCAACAACAAAACAGTTATTGAAGAGTCAGGCCATAGATATAATGCATTTGGAAAAATATTTCATGACTGCACAACCCTAGATACTTCAAGACAAAGACTGTATATGTGTGATTTGTTTGAAAAGATCTTGAAACCTAATATGAACCTATTCAGTTGTAATAGGGGTTATATAAGAAAAAACACTGAGAATTTTGGATGTGGGAGAACACCTAATTCTTTCTATTCTAACCATGAAAAAATTCATAGTGGAATGAAACACTGTGAAGATAATCAATGTGGAAAGATTATCAGCAATAAACAATTTCTTATTCAATATGTGAATGGTGAAACTGGGGAGAAGACCTGTGTATGCATTGAGTCACAGCTCATTACTCATCAACGAATTCATACTGCAGAGAAGCCTTATGATTGCAGTGCATGTGGGAAAGCCTTCAGTGAGAAGTCACATCTCATTGTACATCAGAGAACTCACACTGGGGAGAAACCTTATGAATGTTCTGAATGTGGAAAAGCCTTCTCTCAAAAATCATCTCTCATCATACATCAGAGAGTTCATTCAGGGGAGAAACCATGTGAATGTAGTGACTGTGGGAAAGCCTTCTCCCAGAAATCACCCCTCATTATACATCAGAGAATTCACATCGGGGAGAAACCCTATAAATGTGCTCAATGTGAGGAAGCCTTCAGCAGAAAGTCAGAACTCATTATACATCAGATAATTCATACTGAGGAGAAACCTTATGAATGTACTGACTGTGGGAAGACCTTCTCCCGGAAGTCACAGCTCATCATACATCAGAGAACACTCACTGGAGAGAAACCCTATAAATGCAGTGAATGTGGAAAAGCCTTCTGTCAGCAGTCACATCTCATTGGACATCAGAGAATTCACACAGGAAAAAAACCTTATATGTGTACTGAATGTGGGAAAGCCTTCTCTCAGAAGTCCTACCTCCCAGGACATCAGTGAATTCATACAGGAGAGAAACCTTACATATGTGCTGAATGTGGAAAAGCCTTTTCCCAGAAGTCAGACCTTGTTGTACATCAGAGAATTCATACTGGGGAGAAACCCTATCGATGTGCTATATGTGTAAAAACCTTCATCCAGAAGTCACAACTCACTGTACATCAGAGAATTCATACAGTGGTAAAATTATAAGAATGGATTGAGCACAGAAAAGCCTACAGTAGCTGTTCAAGCCTTAATAAATACCACAGAACCTACAGATTTGATGAGTTTTGAGACATCTTTATTGATAAAAATTTTACAAGTGAAATCAAGTTTCTACTGTAGTATCTAATGTTTTGTCAAAGATAATGCAAAAATCTTAATTATATAAATGATGGGCGTTTTCACTATGGCATGTAAAACTTTTAAGATTGTGAGTGGAATGATTAATATAATAGAACAAATTACATATGTAGTCTATTTTGAAGTTACATGTTTCTGAGTATACTATGTAATGATATCAGAGATCAGATATTTTTAATGTGAGCCTAGCATAATTGTGGCCGTGGAGTAATTCCCCATAGAGGACATGAAGAAAGCTTGAGGCAAAAAATGCCGAGAGCTAGAAACTGTGCTTGGGGGAGGGGGCCTGGTCATCAACTCTAAAGGTATATGTAAAATTCTTCTTGTAGAAAGATGGAAAGATGTGTTGGTAAGGTGCAATAAATGTGGTCTTTTTGTGTTTTTCCATTTCAAGAATATAAGTTGGTCTGAGTCTGTGGATGTACCCAGGATCTTGGAATTGACACTTCTTGCTCATTTCTCCCTTTCACCCCGCCTCTCTAGGAGCTTGGTGTGGTGGAAAGACATTGTTTTTAGAGCCATATGGTCATGGGTTTTAATCCTTGTTCCATTACTCACAGATTGTGTGACTTCAGGGAAGCCTTTTTTAACCCTCAGTGTTCCTTCCCTCATCTGTATGTGAAATCCTGGCAGAGAGCACGTTCTTATTTAATATTTGTCCACTTTATCTTCTTTCTCTATTCTCTTGCAGTAGGCTGCTAATACCGATGTATACACATTTAAACATGATTTGCATTCCAGACACTCTGCTTCTGATTTCCCAGATTTCTTATATTTTCCTCTGTCCATTTCACTTCCCTTGTGTCTGGTGGCCTAACTAATGCTATGTTAAGGAGACTCCAGTTACTTTTCATTTATTTTATTTTGCAAACACATATAAATTATGGTGTTTGTACATAAAGACCCTGTGTGATACCTCCAAAGCTCCTGTTTTACCTGCTCCCTGAAGCACCAACTCCTTTTCCTGAGAATTGAGTGACCCTCAGAGAAAAATCCTTAGGGAGTGGAGAATACATGCTTGGGATAGCTTACTCGGGCAAGTATCACGTCAGGACATAAAAATCCCACCTACTATCTCTAAAACGCTAATGTGTTCTTTGTTGTGGCCCCTTGTCCCATGAGAATCTTCAGTAAGCACCCCTTAGGGAGAGGTCACATGCAGGGATGTAGTGACCCGTGTAGCTGAATACAGTGTCTACATATAAAGTTTCTACCTGATTCCTCCACATTATTGTCTAGCTGACCCTTTCTCTGCAGGGCCCCAGTGTTTGCTCTGAGAACTAAGACTCTGCATGAGAACCTCTGCAGAGGCAATGGCATACCTCAAAAAGATGTGCAAACCTGTGTGAGAACGTTCTTTGTGTCGTTGTGAACAGTGATTGATATTGGATATGACTGGCCATTTGGACCTGAGAAGTAAAACCTTCAGTCATGTCCCATGGCGTGATCTGCTTTGAGGAGTGTTGAAGAAAGTTGACCCCACCTGGCCCTCATGGAGGCATGGGAAAGTCAAGTTCTCAGGAACATACAGAAATTTTGTGAGGAGAAAATGATGATATAGTGACTGTTACGGAAATTATGTAAGGGAAATAAAGATTCCAGAGTTCCTACCTACTCACAGGCCTTCCATTTTGTCATTTCAGCTCCCAGGGAACCTCATTAATCTGATCATGACAACATATCCTATATATTGCTATAAAATACAGAAAAACTTAACACTTACTGGTGAAGTATAGAAGATTTTCCCTTTGAGTTCTGGAAAAAAGACAATGTACATCTTCACCAATTCTATTCAACATGTATTGGAGGACCCAGTCAGGGAAATCAGGCAAGAAAAAAATTGGTATAATGATTGGAAAGCAACAAATAAAACAGACATTATTTGTAGGCTATAAAATTGTATGCTTAGAAAATAAAAATGTATAGATTAATTAGAAATACAAAGTTTAGCAAGGTTTATGTATATAAAGTGTTTTTAAAAATAAAGTTCTATATATTAGCAACAGATATAAACTGAAAATTTAAAGATATCAATTACAGTGGCAGGAAAAATACCACATGCCTAGAAATATGTGTATTTGCAGTTACTATGTTGAGTAGAAGTGGCAAGAGTGGGCATCCTTATATTGTTCCTGATTTTAGAGGAAAAGTTTTCAGCTTTTCACCATTGATTATGACGTTAGCTGTAAGCATGTCATATATGGCCTTCATTATGTGGAGGTACATTTCTTCTGCACCTAATTTGTTGAGGGTTTTTAATCATGAAATGATGTTGAATTTTGTCAGATGCTTTTTCTGCGTGTATTGAGATGATCACATGATTTTTATCCTTCACTCTGTTCATTTGGTGTATCACATTTATTGATTTGTGTATGTTGAAACAGCCTTACATCCCAGGTATAAATCCCAGTTGATCACAGTTTATGACCCTTTAAATGTGCTGTCGAATTCTGTTTGCTAATATTTTGTTGACTATTTTTGCATCTATATTCATCAAGGATATTGGCCTGTAATTTTCTTTTCTGGTAATGTCTTTATTTGGCTTTGGTGTCAGAGTAATGCTGGCCTAGTAAAGTTTGAGAATGTTCCCTCCTTCAATATTTTGGAAGAGTTTAAGAAAGAGTGTGGTTTATTTTTCTTTAAATGTTTGGCAGAATTCACCAATGAAACCATCTGGTCCTGGGCTTTTCTTTTTTGGGAGGTTTTTTATTACTGATTCAATCTACTACTCATTATTATTGGTTTGTTCAGATTTTCTATTTCTTCATGATTCAGTCTTGTAGGTTGCATGTTTCTAGGGATTTATCCATTTTGTTGGCGTATAGTTGTTCTAAGTAGTCTCTTATGATCCTTTGTATTTCTGTGGTATTAGTTGTAATATTTCCTCTTTCATTTCTGATTTTGAGTCTTCCATTTTTTTCTTAGTCTAGCTAAAGTTTTGTTAATTTTATTTTTCAAAAAAACCAGCTCTTAGTTTTCTTGGTCTTTTTTATTGTTTCTCTGGTCTCTATTTCATTTATTTCAGCTCTGATCTTTGTTATTTCTTTCCTTCTGCTACCCTTGGCTTAGTTTTTTCTTCTTTTTCTGTCTTTGGGATATAAAGTTAGGTTGTTTGAGTCTTTTTTTTTTTTTGTGAGGAAGATTAGCCCTGAGCTAACATCCGATGCCAATCCTCCTCTTTTTGCTGAGGAAGATTGGCCCTGAGCTAACATCTGTGCCCATCTTCCTCTACTTGATATGGGAGGCTGCCACAGCATGGCTTGACAAGCGATGCGTTGGTGTGTGCTCAGGATCTGAACCTGCGAACCCTGGGCCACCGAAGCGGAACACGCGCACTTCACTACCACAGCACCAGGCTGGCCCCTGTTTGAGTTTTTTTTTTTAATGTAAGCATTTATCAGTATTAACTTCCCTCCTAGAATTGCTTTTGCTGTATCCCATGGGTTTTGTTATGTTGTTTCCATATTTATTTGTTTCATGATTTTTTTTACTTCCCTTTTGATTTATTCTTTGACTCGTTGGTTCTTTAGGTATGTGTTGTTTAATTTCCACATATTTGTGAGTTTTCCAATTTTCCTTGTTATTGTTTTCTAGTTTCATACCATTGTGGTTAGAAGAGATACTTGGTATGATTTCAGTCTTCTTAAATTTTCTAAGATTTGTTTTGTGACCTATCCTATAATCTATCTTGGAGAATGTAATGTGTGCCCTTGAGAAGAATGTGTATTCTGCTGCTGTTTGATGGGATGTTTTGTATATGTCTGTTAGGTCCATTTGATCTGAAGTAGAGTTCAAGTCCAATGTTTCCTTATTGATTTTCTATCTGGATGATCTATCCATTGTTAAAAGTGAGGTACTGAAGTCCTCTACTATTATTGTATTTTTGTCTATTTCTTCCTCAGATCTGTTAGTATTTGCTTAATATATTTATTTAGGTGCTCCAATGTTGGGCACATATATATTTATAATTGTTATATCCTCCTGATTACTTGACCCCTTTATTATTATATAATGACCTTCTTTGTCTCTGTTACAATATTTGACTTAAAGTGTATTTTGTCTGATATAAGTATAGCTACCTTGATCTCTTTTGTTTTTCATTTGCTTGGAATACCTTTTTCCATCCTGTCACTTTGATCCTATACATGTTTGTAAAGCTGAAGTGAGTCTCTTGTGGGCAGCCTTTGATTGGGTCTTATTTTTTTAATCTATTCAGCCATGCTATACCTTTTGATTTGATAATTTAATTCATTTATATTTAAGTAATTATTGATAGGTAAAGACTCACTGATGCCACCTTATTTATTGTTTTCTGGCTGTTTTGTATTTCCTTTGTTTTTTTCTTCTTCTCTTGCTGTCCTCCTTTGTTAATTGATGATTTTTTTAAATGATATCCTTTGATTCCCTTCTCTTTATCCTTTGTGTATCTAAAATAGGTTTTAGCTGTGTTATCATGAGCCTTACATAAAATATCTTATAGTTATAATATTCCATTTTAAGCTGGTAACAGCTTAACTTTGAGTGCATACAAAAACTTTACCCTTTTATTTCCCTACCTCATTTTGTTGTTGTTTTTTTTTATAATTTTATTTATTTATTTTTTCCCCCAAAGCCCCAGGAGATAGTTGTATGACATAGCTGCACATTCTTCTAGTTGCTGTATGCGGGACGCAGCCTCAGCATGGCCAGAGAAGCGGTGCGTCAGTGCGCGCCCGGGGTTCCGAACCCGGGCCGCCAGCAGCAGAGCGCGCACTTAACCGCTAAGCCACAGGGCCGGCCCCTCATTTTGTTTTTAACGTCAAAATTTATGTCTTATTATATTGTGTATCCGTTAACAAATTATTTTGGCTAGGTGTAGTTATTTTTAACACTTTTGTCCTTTAACCTCTCTACTGGAGTTAAGTGG